TTTAGAAAGCTTTAAACTGTTTAGAAATGAATGTAAAAATACTTTTTCTAAACAATCATTGCAAACACAAATGTTGTTATAGTTTGAATGTTGTCACAGCTGTAAATAAATTGCAGTTCAATAATGACCTTAAAAATATCTATAATTACATATTTCTGACTGGTATTAATAGTTGGTGTTCAATCCTAAGAAAAAGCTGATTTTTTTTTGTAGGAAAACCCTCCATTTAGCCATATGCTTAATAAGCTAGTAAGCTTAGTAAATATCAAACTGTCTTAATAACTGAGGTAATTGAATATTTTCACTGGTGCCAGTGATTGATAAAAAACAGGATTTTGAATACTGGTTTTCTAGACAGACAAGCTTTCTTTTACTTGAGAAATTTGCATAAAACAATTTTCATTGTTCTGATCCTCTACTCAGTTTAGTCATTGGCATTATTATTCTTTCTTCTTTTATGTAACATGTCCCTTCAGGACGTGTGGGATGGTGGATCTCCACAACTTCCTATTCTTTGTAGTTCTAAGCAATGTTTGTCTTCTTACTATCCTTCCCAGCTACTATTCTGCCATTCATTTACTCAGATAGGTTACTCACTGTTTTATTCTGCCCCTTCATTATGTTCTGTGAGTGTCAAATTCTCCAAGCCGTCTTTCCTAGAAATTTAAACTCTTTCTGGTCTTAAGCGTCATTTTATTTCCATTTTTCCTTAAAACTTCCTCATTGCTTTCATATTCTGTCCATGATATTCTCTGCATCCTTTTGTAGAACCACATCTGTGTGGCCTCAAGTCTCCTCTTCATCTGTGAGGGAATTGTTCGGTACTCACTGCCACATAAGAGAATTGATACGGATTAAATATCTATTTTTTGTGCCAACTTCATAGCTAAGATAATTGCCTGTTTTCAGTTTTTTAGCTCAGAAAAAAAAACAGTATTTCAAATGCTGCTTTTTAAGGCAGGCAAAGACTCCCCATTTGGAAACTGGCACAATAAAATCTTCTTTCTGATATTTCCCTTTATGTGACCTTGCGCCAGATTAAGTAAAGTTTAATAAATATCAGTTGTTACATATCTACACTCTCACACATGCAAATATTTTGAGATGCCAAAAAAAAAGTTTGTATGTATGTATGTCCTCTAGTCTCCCCTGCAGAGTACAGAATTACACACTCACCATGATACACATTGATACTGTAGTTTCTGTAGCAAGTAGGATTTTATGGGATGGAATTGCTAGCCCCATGCAATATGGTGGAATAAATATAACATGTCCGACAATAAAAGACATCATTTATTATAAGTAAATGACAGAATTGGTAAAATATACACGAATATAGCAAAGGAAACGCGAAAATAAAGATGTCTTGGACGCAGAAACTTCTAAACATACAAGATCCTTATGTCTATCTTCTTCCTTGTTTCCATGAACGATCTTCTCAATGACATCAGTTTCGATTAGGGTATCAATGCTGATGGCGCAAATATTAACTCCTCTCTTAATGAGAAGACATATAGGCACGATAAGGTCAAACTGGCAGCTGATCTCAAATATCTAGCTTATTGCTCAAAAAAGTCTGTCAAGCTTTCGATAAGAGTTGCGAACCCGGGCTGTTGTGTTAAAAAGTATTTAACATGGATCGGCGTGCAGATCTTTTCCCCATATTGAAGGATTGTCATATTTCTCCTCATTTTCTTTTATTTGATACAAACCACGTTTGAAAAGCCGTCTTAAGAAACCACTCCTCTCGATCTTTATGCACGAACACAGCAGTATGCAGGGCTGTGCTCTTGTTCTATTTGGTTCATTATTAACATCAATGACTTTCAGGGAGACTCATGAGTTCTTGAATCGTTATCTATGATGAAGACGTAAATATTAATATTGTAAGTCTGATAGGTTTGATAAAATCAGATGTCCAGCTTACTCGAAAATGACTTACAATCTGTCGTTAAGAGGAGTTAGACGCGGTATTTACTCTGTCTACCCACTAGGAGGAGATATGACACAAGGTCTATTTTTATGTGGGGACCCGAACACGTACCCCCGAGACAGGAACAAAAATTCCCCTCAGTCCCCGCAACCTTCGATTGTGCTGCCCTCGGTGCGAGCACTCCCTCTAGTGCAATGGGAAAGCGCGGTCTCTTGCAGTTGTTCCCCATAGCTGGGTACCTCTTCAGTATTATCTTCCTCAGTTGCCCCTCAGTCTGTTGCCTCGAGTCTCTTCTTCATCTTTGAAGAGACTGCCGAACATTCACTGCCGTATAGGTTGACAGATCTCGCATAGCAGCTAAGTATTCTTTTCTTTGTCACCAAAGAAACAGCCTTTTTGACTATGCTTCCCTTTTTGACTCAAGAAAACTGGACCTATATCTACATTTTATTATTCTGTAGACAATTAGACCTACTTATTTTTATAGTTTACCTTTTTTATGCACATGAAAACCAGACTTATGTTTACATTCTTATTTCTTACAGACTGTCATGCAAACTAACACACTATCTATTTTCTTATCAAAACGATAGAATTTGGCATTACAGAAACTATCAATCGTTGATATACCCGACAATAAACAAAACAAACTAAATCATTCTAGGATTTAGGTAGAAACATTCCATTCTATTGGTGCATCTACATTTTTGGTATTACAGTTCATAAATTATTAATCGTTCGCTCATCTTGACCACCTGTTCGCAAGCTAATGAAACTGTGTGGCGTTTTCGATCCACAGGTGTTTCCTTTTACAAGAATGGTTGGTTGATTGTTTTTGGTTAGCATCACATCAACTTCTGTGTCTCGTATAATGCCGAAATCTAATTTCTTTGTATCCAATTTTGTTTTATTTTTGGAGACAATGATTGTTTAATAATATAGGTTATACTAGTTAACAGCTGAAGGAGGAAGAAGTATATTCATACCCGCTCCCAGGGATATTTATGCCGTAAGAATAAAACGAACCCAACTAGAATTGAAACTCGATTCTCCTATTAACAATTTCGAGCTATTATCCATTACACAGTCAGCACATCCAAGCTTACAACACCTGGTATTCCCAAGCGGTCGCAAAAGCTCAGGCTCGACGTTGCTTAACTTCTGCGATTAATGCGAAACGAGTGATTCAACTTTATATAATATTGGATTAAAGGAAGTAGACGATTATTAGATTCACTCAAATAAAGGCTCAGGTGTATACGACAGTCGCCTTAAAAAATTCCATTATCAATTTAATAAGAGGCAAAAGAGTTGGTTGAATAAATATAATAATGAAAATGGATACGGATTCCCTGGATAGAAACGAATAATTAAAATGAAGTTTCAAATAAATCCGATCAGCTTAACGGGGACATCAGCTAATAAAAAAAAAATGCACCAATCCAAATGCAGAGAAGAATTCTAAGAAGATTCAAGATAAAGATTAAAGAGTGCAGGTGTTGCAGAAGAAGGAATTAATAAGAGATCAGACGTCATATAAAAGACACATACATATATATATATATATATATATATATATATATATATATATATATATATATATATATATATCTGTGTGTGTTTTTATATATATGTAGGTATATATGTATATATATATATATATTTTATGGATATATGTATATATATTTATGTATACATATATATATATATTTATATATATGTATATATAAATATGTATATATGTATATATATATGTGTATATATGTGTATATACATGTATATATATATGTATATATATATATATATATATATATATGTGTATATACATGTATATATATATACATATATGTATATATATATATATATGTATACTTATATATATATATATATATGTGTGTGTGTGTGTGTGTGTGTGTGTGCGTGTGTGTGTGCAAATATTTAGAAAAATAGGAAAGGACCGTTAGGTTGATAATACACATTTCTTTAGCATTTTTGTTTTTATTTAAAGTAGAGTCGAAATTCTAATCATTTTTTTAAAATGTGATTCCATCGCTACATAAGTGTTCTTATGTTTCAAAAATAAAAAAAAAAACTAAATAAACAGCTCTATTTCATCCTCAATCGCATTTTGGAATGAGAAATCTTATCTAGCGATAAAAACATATTTTTAAAAATAATAATATATATATATATATATATATATATATATATATATATATATATATATATATATATATACGTGTGTGTTATAATCCTTCATTTCAGGCTGAAAAGTGATAAAAAGAATACTGCCCAAAATTATGCGTTAGGTTTTGGGGATTAGTTCCACCGTTGTCAAGGAAACAATCGATAAATCGTTATTGCTGATTTTTTTAAAAAATTAATCATTTCAGCCCAAGCAAGGTGGAAGTGCCACTAATACGTAGGGGGTTTCAGAGAGTGAAAGTGAGTAAAAAGACTGAGTATAGGATAAAAGATGAACGGTGTTCAAGTCAACTAGTTTTGAATTCAAAGTTGCCCTTCTACTAGACTGGCTGCCCACAGAGCTTAAAGAGCCCAATCTGCGCTGCTACTAACCACTAGCTTGTGGGAGAAGAGCTAGTTTCATAGTTTTGTGAAAAGCAGGCTGGAATTTGAAACCTACACACCAATCTTACTTTTCAAACTGATAGCCACTACACTATATTTGTCATATTAATTTCATATTTATATAATATTTCTCATATCAAAAAGAAAACAAAGTTTGCACTTTAAAATTTATTTAAATATATTTCACTGAGAAATTAAGCAATTGTTTTAATTTTTTTCATTGATTGATTGTTTTTACGACTCATCAACATTTTGCAGGTTATTTAAAACCTGAAAATATTTTAGACTATAAGAATTTTTGGAAGATTTTTACTGATATAAGTTATACTAATTAACCCATAGCTGGGGAAAAGAAAACATAGATTCACACCTTTCCCAACAGTATTTGTATGTAAGTGAATATAATGAACCTGACAGTAACTGGAACTAGGGTCTCTGATTTCCAATTTCAAGCTAGCATCCATTACACATCTAAGCTTACACTATCTGATATTCCCAACCAGTCTCCCATCTAGGTAATGACCAGGCTTGATGTTGCTTAACTCTGGTGATCATATGAGAACTGGTGTTTCAATGTGATATGGCCATAAGCCTTTATTTTGTTGAAATTTACAGTTCAATGAATAACACAGTGTTAATTTATTGAAACAAATTTTTCAATTGTTTCTATCATGGTCCACATTTTCTTAATATAAGAAATACTAAGCGGAATCAAAGATAAACAGGGATATTAGCACACAACTGCAAGAGGAGCTCAGTTGCACAGTAAACCTATGAGTTTTGTTGAAACAAAGAATAAAATAATGTACTATATTTTATCCAATGCAATGATAAAACAAAGCGATTTTTTTTTCTTGTGGTGAAACAATGAAAGCTAATTTGTAATTAAATAAAGAAACATTTGTAACATAAACACTGAGGGATATCAGTATTTTGTAACTTTAGAATAAAAGCTATTTTTATAAATAAAATGCTTCTGTCTCCAGAAGGTAAGTGCATCACAATAAACAGTTTTATATTAACACATTTCCTCCAATGTATCTTACTGATGTGTCTTTATGAGGAACTAAACTAAGCTTTATATAAAAAGGTAAGTTTGAATCAAATATGGGTTCAAATTTAGCAGAAGGATAATATAAAGAACAAACAGGAAACATTTATCAATCTTCCTTTTATTAAAGCTTCATCAGAAAATATGAAGAAAAAAAGAAATTCTGGTATTTTTATTTTTATATTGTTTAATTTTCATTTGTTAATCATGTTTCATGTACATTTGACTTATTAAACAAACTTTAATGTAATTTGTGGCATTCTGAATTCAAAGAGAGGCAACTTGTCCATTTGAAGTTCCAAGAAATTGACAGATTCCAAGCCTAATTAAAAAACCATGAATATTGTTTTATGTATATAAGTGTATAATAATTCTAGTTTGTTTATGGGCGATGCAAATAATTATGTATATTTATAAATGTGTGTGTGTATGTCTAGTAAACATTATGTTTGTTGGTTTTTCACATGTTGATTTGGGAATGTTTTTAAATACATAATGTTTGTTTTAGATGAATGTATGTTAGATTTCTTTAAGAATGGATTCAATAAAGATTGGTGATGTAATATGTTTGTTATATTGTCTTCCCTCTAATGAGTCTATTATGAACTCTTCCACTTACTATAAAGTAGTAGGAAAAGTAAGCCTGGGGGGGGGGAATGGTGATATAGACTGAACGCTGGTCAACCAATACACACTCCCAAGTTGTGTAACACTCTTCTGAGGTATTTACTGTTCAATACACTATTCATCTGCAACCTCTTGTATTGTTATTCCTTAACCACATACTTTGTCACAACAATTTTTTCACATGTGCTTATAAAAAGGTAAGTGTATCACAATAAACTTTATAGTAACACTTTTCATTAATTGCATTCATTGCTTTCTTTACACATTTTTTTCTTGATTCATTTCATCCCAAACAAGGTTGTGGAATGAAGATGGAAATAAACACCAAGTCAATCAACAAATGACAAAAAAATTATTTCTGAGTCAGAGGATCCACGCATCCTTCCAGTTAATAAATTAATCCTTTGAAAATAAATATTTAACATTTTCGATCGCATTCCCACCGACAATAAAAAAAAACATGCTTTGTGATCCCTTTGAAGAGTATTTAAGCAGAGCTTCTATACCAGACAAGCCAGTAAGGAATGACAATAGTTCACAACACAGCTCAGCTTCAAAGAGCTTCCCTTACTCATTCACACATCTTCCTCACCAATTTACATGACACTTAAACTTTCCACCTCCCTTTCTCCCTTGCCTCTCTTTTTCACACATGCATGCAAAAAAATCACATTACTTTTCATCTTAATAAACAAGGAACTTTAACAATCATACACACTAAGAAAAATTTAGTTATATGAACACAAAAAGGTATTATATTTTTATATTTAAAAAACTTTCTTGCCTTTTTATTTGTTGTGGGTTGATTCAAATCTGCAACAAGGTGATAAAGCCACCAGTTAAGAGGTTATGATAATGAAAGAAAATGAGTAAACATTAGTGAGAAGAAAGGACAATAAATAACAGGATTAAGAAAGATAGAAGTTGACAACTGATGTTGAATTTAAATTTGTAGTTGATAGGAAAGATGGAAGCCAGAAAAGAGTTCCACAGTTGAGAAGTGGCAGAAAAGAAACTATTAGAATAAAACTTATGGTTATATCTAGCTATTTCAACAGTAAAATGATGAAACCTTGCACCAATCTACTGCCATACATAAACTCATTAAGTCAAGGCATGAAATATGAAAACCTATCAGAACAAATGTTATGAAATATTTATAGAAAAGGCACAGGGAATCTATGTTAGAGTGATAGGCAAATGACTGACATCAAGATACTAGGTCAGGATCAATAACATTATTGATCCTTCTTTGGATTTTGTAGACCAGCTCACATGAATAATTCCTTGAAGTAAGATTTGGGATCTTGAAGGCTATTTGATTAGACGCTAATTTTCTGGGGATTGTTTTATGCAAAATATTTACTTTTTTATTGTATAGTGAAATAGAGAGCCATCTTGTTGGAAAAAGAGGTTCTTTAGTCTCTTATTGCTTTTGATGCAATCTGAAGTTGTCCCATAACGTGTGAAGATGATTATTAACATCAAAGCTTACAGAGGGATGAAAATCTATTTATTTGTTATGAAACTACAGAGGCAAGCATACTTTTAGCCTACTTTCTACATATAAATACGTAGCAAGACTAATCTTTTACACACCTTTCATACAGCATGAACTCTACTAAGTATTAATTTACACCATATTTTGTTTCAAACTTTTTATTTACACACACAGAGGAAAAGAACAGAAAGTCTATGCTTCTATAATCACTAACAGTCCATCAAATGGAAAACTCATTTAGCACAAATCTATCAAATTTCAGAGGGTGGAAGATATTAAGTTTGATTCTCAATTTCAAGCTTATCAAATCATCTGCCTATATATATATATATATATATATATATATATATATCCGTGTGTGTGTGTGTGTGTGTGTGTATGTAAAAATTAAGATATAACTAGAAATATATGCGTAAAAGGACAATATGAATAAAGACAAAAGAAAAACTTTTCTTAGCCAATGCATTTCATCCTCTGACAGACTTTACCATGGCAAAAGTAAGGATTTTATTTTGCTATTTTGCAACAAGCATTTATAAACAGAAGTAAAAATATCATTAGTGGTTCAGAATTTTTAAATTTAAGATCACTCATAAATATACATCAGGATAACTTATAGTCAAGGTAAATTATGGAGGATACTAAGTGATGTAATTTAATGTCTAATAAATGAAAATGAGTAAAAAATGTTGTTGTTGTTGTTGAATTGTTTTATAATGTAATTATTATTTGTATTATTTTAGTTTGAGAAATTAATTTATGTATTACTTGTTTTAAATAACAGAAAGTTTTGAATTTAACCATTTTCTTGTAATTTTCTAAAATTTTTATAGTCATGTATGTTGGCTTGGGAAGGGAGTAATTCTTTCAGGAATGGAGATATTTGAAAAAATCCAGGGCGCAGATTTATATTTTGGTAAGATGTGGCATATGTATATGGTGTGTGTGTTATACTCTACTGCAAATTAGATCTCTTTCTGATTCAGATGGATGTCATCACTAAGAAAGCAAAACCCAAAATAAAAAATGTCTTTCTCTGCACAGAACTTCTGAGCATCACATTCAGCCCACAAAACAAATCCTCTCAAAAATCTAAAATACAAGATAAAAGAAGCCAATCATGAACATTGCCACCAAAGGAAAAAACAAGCTCAGGAGTGACTAGATTTACTTTCAAGAAAGCCACTCATAAATGACTGGAACAAAAGCAAATAAAATTCCGCTTACATCCTCTGTATCAGCAAAGTTTGATTCATGGCTTCACTCTAGGCTTCTCTTGACATCACCACCATGACTAGTCAACCAAACTGACACACATACTCACTTGAAACCCACTCTCCTCCAAATGCCTACACCATGCTAACAGAAACATTCTCCTCGCATCCTCTGTATTGGCAAAGTCAGATTTGCAGTGAGCATCAAGCTTTACTATTCCACAGTGACCTTTGTTAACCAACCCAACTAATGCATCAACTCCAGGCTTTACCAATTCTACACTTCCTTCAAAGCTGCCTCCCTCACTCACACATTAGAGACATTCTGTTTATATCTGCTGTATTGGCAATACAAAAGAATTTTATATTTACAATTCTTGTCTTCTTTTTCTCTCACCTCACCAATAGTACTGTTCTTCTGTGCTACCATATGCATGTTTTGAACATGTGTTCTTAGCTGCTTAGCCACAGGAGGCCTCATATCAAAGCAAAGATCAATTCCTGATTTAAAGAAATGCACATGCCTCCTTGGGATTTGTTGGACACTATGGCTGCTAACTTGATTTTCATACTTGAAAGATAAACAAAATCATCTTAAGCAATTAATAGATTTTTATAATCCAACATTATTTCTTATTGTTATAAACATTATATTTAGTGGGTACATGTGTTTGAGAAGACACCACTGTTTTTGTTTTTTTTAAACTGACATCACCCTACCAAGGCAAATTAAAAGTTATATTAATGAAAAACATGCCTCTCATTCCAATAATCCTGAGAAATCACCTTTAAGCTAGGCATGCTTAACCATTTAGATATGAAAGATCTCAAAGCAAAGATGGTTTCCCAGTGCAGGTTCAATTCCTGTCAAAAGGCACATTTCTTTTTTAAATTTCAGTTGCCCAAGCAGGTAGTTGTTAATTTCACTGTTTAAAACAAATGTCTACTTAAACATGAGGTCTGTACTAAATATAATGTTTATAGCAATAAGAAATAATGTCAGATAAAAAAAAAAAACAACCCATTAATTACTTTAAAATTATGTTCTTTGTGTTTCAGGTACAAATTGATTTATTGATTTGTTTTTTACAGCTTATCAAGCCTTTAAACCTGAAACATATTTAAAATTGTAGGAGGTTACTTACAGTACATGGTGTCCCCAAGCAGTCCCCTATCTAAGTACTAACTGGGCTCATCACTGCTTAATTTTAGTGATCAAACAAGAACCTGTGTTTCCAGCATAACTTAACTTTAAGCTCAGGTATGAAAATAAAGTTAACAGATATAGATTTCAAAAGGTCCAAACAAGAGGTGTACATTTATTAAAACGAATAATTATGCCTTGCTTTGCTGTGAGACTTTCTCATAGCCAAATGGTAAAATACGCCTAGCTTAAAGGTTGTTTCTCTTTCTTTTTCACACACACATACACTACAGTTCAAAAGTTCAAGGCCAATCCGTAGTAATTATTTAAATTGGCCAAAATGTAATTGTTTTGTACTTTAAATAAGAGGAAATGATTATACATAGTTAAAAAAAAGTGAGACATGCTTTTTATTATAAATTTTATTATGATAAAAAAAAAGCATTTTATGGTTAAATTTTTCATTTGGCAAAATATCTTCCTTTAGCCTTGATTACTGCAGCACAAATTTTTGGCATTCATTGTAAAATTTTCTGAAAGTTTGATAATTGATTTCATTTTTTTTTTCAATGACTCTAAGAGCTCCTTTTCATTTTTGGGATGTAAAAGTTTCACTCTTCTGTCAATTACATCCCAGGCTAATTCTGGGGATGGCTTTAAATTTTTGAATTGTAGTGTATATATATATATATATATATCTTCAGACATGGTTCAAAGATCATTTGAGACATGAAACCAACAGTCATCATGCAGTGTTGATTTCTATGTTCACCCTGTCTATATATTAGGCTTGTGCAAAAATCCCCAGCACAAACTTTAATGACTTAGGAACTGAATACACAGTAGAAAACAGTTTTTAAATAAAAAATGCTGAAAACTTTTATGCAAATATATATAATAGTTTTGTGTATGTGTGTGTGTGTTATCTTCAAGGACATTTGTCATACAGAGAGCTATTTTGAACAAGCTCTTCTTAGAAACCATTGCTTATGTTGCATATTTGACCTTTACTGAGTGCTTCACCTTTATGGCTATGTCAGATTAAGCCAAATTTAGTATATAACAAGGCATGTTGTATCTTTAATCATTATATATACATACATCTAATGATATCATTTTACTTCCTAAATAAGAAACTAATACAAAAAAAAAATCTATGAAGAATGAAATTCTTTAGTTTCTATCTAGTTAACTCCATTTCACTCTCTCATTTCAATCCTTACCTAGAAGAAGAAATGCTGCAATTTCAGGGGCAAATAATTGAAGCAGGGCAAAAAATTCAAGGAATACATACCAGAAAAAAATGTATTTATTTTGGTGAGCTCTTTATCACAGAATTGAAAGAAACGTTCGTCAAAGCGTGCAAAGTAGCGCTCAATTGTTGCACTGTCCGTCACTGAAAAAAATGAAATAAAATGAAATAAGATTAAAAAAAAACAAAAAATTTATTTATTTTATTCTTTAAGATTTACAATATTGATTTTAGAAGTATTTATGAGTAGTAGTACTTTCTGTCTGAATTTCTGGGATGAGGATTTATCATTATTATTTACACTATTATCCTCATTTTTGTTGTTGTTATCACATTGTTTTGGCCATTGTGCTTCTGGCCTTAATCAGGTGTATGTTGATCTGGATAAACTACAGGGAATTTTGAACTGAACCCTTTATTTAATCTATGGAGGCAGATTGTACTCATTCCACTAGACGAGATATCTTTAGACATGAGCAATGGAATGAGAACAATTTACCTACATAGATTAAATAAAGGGTTCAGTTCAAAATTCCCTGTAGGTTACCCAGACTGAAATAAACCTGATGAAAACAGGGAAGGGGGTGCAATGGCTGAAATGTTGTGATAACAACAATAAAGATGAAGACAATAGTGAACATGTAAATATTATAATTTTTTTTTTTAATCAAGTTCACCCCAAGCAAGGCGGTAAAACCACTAAGACACAAGGGGTGACTGGGTGTGGAAGAATAAGAAAACAGAAACATTAAGGAGTGAGAACAAAAGAAGAGTAATCAGGAAGACAGTAGATAGCAATTGACATTGCATTTAAACTTTTTTAGATTAAAGTTGACTGGAAAGCATGGAGCCAGAAGAGAGTTCTGCAAGTAAGAAGTGTAAAAAAAAAGAAACTGTTGGTATAGAATTTGCAGTTATATTTAACTAATTCAATTGTAAATTGATGAGACCTTGTCACCAGTCTAGTAGTGCACTTAAATTCAAATAGTCTAGGTACCATAGCAAAGAGCTCATCCAAACAAATACCATGAAAGTATTTATAGAAAAGGCACAGGGAGGCAACTTTACGGTGGTGGAAAAGTGATTGTTGTGTTGCCAGATCAGGACTAATAATATTGCTGATTCTTCTTTGGAGTATCAAGGAGCTCTAGATATATAGCAGGAGCACTGGACCATATGTGGATGAAAGGTAGACTTGTAGATATGTAAAATAGAATCTGAAGAGAAAAATGAATTCAATATAGTCTTTCCACTTCATGTTAGCCGAGAATGTTAACCTGAGAAGATGCAATGAGCACTTTCTTCTGCAGTTAATCATTAAGCTATTTGAATGTTAGAAATAAATCTCTACCATGCTTTCTCATTTTGTAATTCAGAAATAATAGCTGTAGTAAGAAACCAACAAAAACAGATGAGTTGGGAAAAATTGGTTCACCTATGAATCAATGGCCTCAATTTATAATGCAGTTTTAATGAGTGGAGTGATTAAATATAGAATGAAGAAGTGGAGACATGTTGAAAATTACTGTCAAAAAGAAAAAAACGTGGTGTAAATCCTCTTAAGTGGAAGGCTTTTTGATTAACCTTTATTAACCTTTAACATTTTGTATGTGATTTCATTTGCTGTACAAAAAGTTTATCTTGCCACTGAAGGTGATTCTGAACAAGAGTATGTTTGAATTTCATAATTGTGTTAAATAGAAAATGAGTGAAAACAATAAGGATTGCAATTAACAAAAGAATGCAGTGGAAAGGGAAGTAATATTAATAGTGCAGAGTGCTAAAGGCTAAAGAGTAACATTAATAAGTTTTAAATATTAAACAACAAAACAGAATTGCCCATAACGATGAAGTAAAACTATTTAAAAGCAGAATTTATCTTACAAACAGTGACTGGCAGAGGTTTGGTGAGGCCTGGGGCCAACTCCTTGATTGTATGCCCCTAAGACTCAAGTATTCCTACTCTGGTCTTGCTTATCAAAACACTGATCCGCATTCACACCAGTTTGTGGGAGTGTAGGGTGCTTGTACAACAAAGTTAATATAGACAATTTTAAATTTCAAAAAACAAATTTTTATTTCCCTCTTTGATTGGATGCCCTCATGATATGGCTGGCTGGTGTCATTGCACCCTCTGCCCCACTTATGCATCTACTACTTACAAATCCCCCCCTGCCAAATTAAACAACATGAGAGATAGATATTCAGTCAACTTATGTAACTTCAAAAAATAAAGAAACTCAAGGAAGAAAATAAAATTAGGATCAAGCAGCATGTTCCACTTTGAATTAAAAATGGCCAATCACATTAAGCTACCATGTTGACACATTTGCAGAATATTTGAGATTCAGCGATTGGCCAACAACTTCTTGATAATCCGGTCCATGCCAACACTTTTTCATATAAATGATTCAATATTCTTAGTGTTACGCATTTATCTTTTCACTTAGTGATTTTGGAATCTCTTTTTTATTTCTAGATGTCAACAATCTTTTTGGCAAGTAAAAAGATTTTCTTTATTCTTTGAAGTTACTTAAATCAGCTTAGTATCTGCCGCTCTTGTTTTTTGTTTTTTTTGTGAGTTGACAGATAAAGTCTACTTTTAAATCATTTTACCTTGTTTTTATAGGTAATTCTGTTTTATTGTCCAAACTTATCAACTCTTTGATAAATATTGATTAAAAAGCTGGCTGCTTAAAAGGATTTACATTTCCTTTTTCTTTTTGACAGTAATTTTCAACATATCTCTACTTTTTTAAGTTATATTGAAGTTTTGTACTATTAGGAAGTGATTAAAGTGCATTTCACTGACCAAACAATGACTACCACACATTGACATCTCTACTCTCATTCATTATAGTGTCCACCAAAAACTGAGAAATGCCTGCTGCTCATTCACAAGGAAACGATAGATTAAATTTTTATTCAATAAAAGTTTCTCAAATATGACTTCTTTTTCAAAAATTTTGTCTTCAAAATAATGTGTTTTATACATCAGCATATCTTATATTCTGAAAAAATATAGTACAACATTTTGGCCAGTGCATTCTTTGGCCTTTTTTTTTTAGAATAAATCAAATTCATTAGTGCATGAATTGGACTAATATCTTAATCTTTTACTCTTTAATTTTGCTTGGTATGATTTCTTGCTTTCTTAGTATTGCTTGAAAATTTGTGAAGAAGCCCTGTGATTATTTCATGAATTATTCAGACTGTGATCCTCATATTTGTTGTGTCAGTTATTATTTTTCCTCTAGTGCACTTTGACCATTTTAGTATAGTTTTATGTCCTGAGATAAAGTACAGTTATTTTTTTTTATTAATTATTCTGACTAGTATCCTCATCTTTACTATTTTGAACAGTACATTTTTGTTGGTACACTCTCCAAGTTTCCTAGTATTGTCTGATATTGCTATTATTTCATAAAATTTTCCAAGTTCTGACTGAAATTCAGAAATAAAGCATTCATTCAGACTAATATCATGATCTTTTATTTTTTTCATCACTATTTTTTGGCCAATGTATCCTCTGAACTTCCATAAATGGAGTAGTCTTTAAATAAAATCCAGTTTTTCATACATAAAGTTTTATTTTTTGCAAATTTTTAACAAAAAGGATTTACACTTAAGATTAAAAGTTACAACATTATGGAATTGTGGATGTGGTAAAGGATTCTATTCAATGGTTACCTGATATGACAGAAATTAGCTGAAGACTAGTGAGCCCACCAGCAGAAACAGAACAAAATACCAAAAACTAAAATGCTTATACTATTTCTATCATTCAGACTGTTGTCATTATCTTTATCAAATTATTCACGTTTCAGCCATTGTATGATCTAGCCTTTTTCAAATGATATACATTGGAATTTCAAACTGAATATGGGGATAGATTGTTCTAATTACATATGCCATGCCTTTTTTTTTTTAGATATCTCAGTTTCAGTTAATTCAGTCAGTTATATGCATGCCATGGGTGATACACGCTTAGGCAATCATGTATCTTTCAATACATGACTGACGAGGCAGATTTTTTCCTGCAGTAGGTCGCCATTTCTTTCTGCAGTACACCAGTTGCCATCCAAGGCTATAGAACCTGGTCTGTCCTGCTATTTACCCATAGCTGGGGGAGAAGAGGATTTGTATCTTACCCAAGGGTATTAACACATAAGTGAATGTAATGGATTCAACTGTAATTCGAATTTGGCTCTCCAATTCTTCAATCCAAGCTGCTATACATTACTCCACCATGTCTCCTAATTCAGTTAATTACTTTTATTTAGTAACTCAACTCTCCAAGTTCCCTCTGTTGTGGTCAGGTATTGAATTCACAAATCTTTGGGTTAAATCACTTTTTTTGGGGGGGGGATTACTCAACCAATACTTTTATCCACTGGGCCATGTGTCCAACAGTACGAATGATGTAAATAATATAAATAGTTACAATATCTCATCTCAGAAATATAGACAGACTATGATGCTTGTTTGAATAATTCATGGAAAAACTTCAGATAGCACTTACTTTATTATTGCAAATGTACACATGTAAACACAGACATCCCCACCCACACAAATTACAAATCTTTGCTTCCCAGATAATTTTGAAATATATATGATTCCTTAATATTTTATTTTTACTTATATCCTACTGATATTCTGGCAACTTCTTTTAGTTGTGACAAATTATAAAAGGTTATTTAAGATTCTTAAAAAAAACAGATACGCATATGTGGAAACCACTACAGATATTGTCCTTAATTTGGTAAGGTTTTAGATTATTTTGGGGACATGCAATTTCGGGTATGTCTTATAAGTGACAGAGAAGTGTCAATATGCTTTAATTTATTTGGATTAGTGTTCTCATCTTGATTATTATAGATCTTTAATTGTCTGAGAGAACGCTTTTTGCCTTCTATTAGTATGGCTGATGCTAACCTCCGGGAAAGTGATTCATTGTGCCTTCTTGGACTAACAATTTCAACTGACATCGAGCAGAAAGATTATATTGAATCAATTGCTATGAGGTGTTAGCCAAAATAAAAAAAGTTGACTTTTTAAGAGAAAACTACCCATAAACTCTGTGGTATGATACATGTATTTATGTATATATATCCTTTCCACTTATGGATTTGATATTATTATCT